GAAGTAATAAGTTCAAGAGCATTTTCTTTGATTCCAAACACATTCTGTAGTCGATTTAGATGGTCAACAGTTTCGAAAACTGCCGATAAGTCTAGCAGTACAAGTAGAACACATTCACTCTTATCTACAGATACGTGGATGTTGTTGTGTACACGTATGAGAGCAGTTTCAGTACTATGGTATTTTCTGTAGGCGCTTTGTAACTTTTCCAATAAATCATGATCACTTACAGTAGAATCTGTATTAAGCAGCCACTCAAGGGAATTTTCATGACTGGCCGCCTAACGGGAGTGACCGCTTAATAAAATCTGAGTGTTTGTTAGTGCTGACATCAAGTGTTATGCTTGGATGCATTGGGAGCAAACATCAATACTTGCATCAGTAAATTTGGCCGTCGCTAAAACTTGCTTGGGACGAAAATTATTTGACACAAATCTATGATATATCTTCTGTAAACGTGTCATTTTGTACCAACATTGATACTACTGTCAACCACTGTGATGTATTCAATATTATTTATCCATTTTTGTGAAGAAAATCCATGAATTAATTATATTATACGCCCACATTTTCATGTGGACGTATATTGTCGTCGCCCCTGTCCGTCCGGACATCCGTCCACAATGTTTGTGTACAGGTCACAATTTTTATCCGATTTGAAATATAGGTTTATCACCCTAAGATCTTGGTTTCTTTCGATATTGGGGGATCACGTGGCTAAGTGGGTAAGGCGCTGGCTCGCTAGCCTGGAGGTCAGGTGTTCGATCCCTGCATTGGCCGAGAAAGTTCATCCCGATTTTCCAGCGTGGTTTCTCCTTGTTAGTGATGAAGGACGGAGGGCCTGACAAGGACAGCTGTTAAGTCGTTCGGATGGTACGAAAAACCGAGGTCCCGTGTACACATTGGCGTGCACGCAAAAGATCCCTTGGCAGTAGGAATTCGATATAAGAGTAGGCCGTAGCGCCGCTGCCCGGGCAAAATTTCCCTCATAGCACACTGTATGGCGTATGCCCGTCTTCATTAGCCCAGGTTAGGAGCAGAACAGTAGGAGGTTAAACCCCATTTCATTTCCTTTCGATATTGGCATGTATCAGACTGTAACTTCATGGATTATGGCCCCTGATTGTACGAAAAATCACATTTTTAGCTTGTGAACACTGTAGAGGCCACAATTTTTATCGGATTTGGTTCAAACTTGAAATGTATGCTTATAACCCAAGGTTCTCGGTTCCTTTCGATATTCGCGCATATCGGAACGTAACTTCCTGAATTATGGCCCCTGATTGTACGAAAAATAGCGTTTCTAGCTTGTGGACCCTATAGAGGTCATAATTTTTATCCGATTTAAAAAATGGTATTATTATGTCACCGTTACACCCTAAGGACGACTGAGTTCGAATTTCGTGAAAATCGGCCCAAAACTGACAGACAAAATGGACGCCCTTCGTTCTCAAATAGCGTAAAAATATGGTATATCAAGATTGTGGACCCTATAGAGGTCACAATTTTTATCCGATTTTGTTGAAACTTGAAATGTAAGTTTATAACCCAAAGATCTTGGTACCTTTCGATATTTGCACATATCGGACCGTAACTTCCTGAATTATGGCTCCTTATTGTACGAAAAATCGCGTTTTCAGCTTGTGGACCCTGTATAGGTCATAATTTTTATCAGATTTAAAAAAACGTTTTATTATATTACCGTTACACCCTAAGGACAGCTGAATTCGAATTTCATGAAAATCGACCCAAAACTGACAGACCAAATGGCCGCCCTTCGTTCTCAAATAGCGTAAAAATATGGTATATCAAGGTTGTGGACCCTATAGACGTCACAATTTTAATCTGATTTTGTTGAAACTTGAAATTTAAGTTTGTAACCCAAAGATCTTGGTGCCTTCCGATATTCGCGCATATCGGAATGTAACTTCCCGATTTATGGCCCCTGATTGTACGAAAAATCGCGTTTTTAGCTTGTGGACCCTATAGAGGTCATAATTTTTATCCGATTTAAAAAAACCTATTAATATATCACCGTTACACCCTAAGTATGGCTGAGTTCGAATTTCATGAAAATCGGCCCACAATGGACAGACAAAATGGCCGCCGCTCTTTCTCAAATAGCGTAAAAATATGGTATATCAAGGTTGTGGACCCTATAGAGGTCACAATTTTTATCCGATTTTGTTGAAACCTGAAATGTAAGTTGATAACCAAAAGATCTCGTTTCCTTTCGATATTTGCTCATATCAAATTGTAATTTTCTGAATTATGGCCCTTGATTGTAGGAAAAATCACTTCCTTTTTAGCTTGTTCTCTATCCATCTCTCGAAAATGTGGGCGTATCCTGCCTGGCAGCCGCTGGTTTTATCAAAAAGCACATGTCCAAAAAACATTGCTGAATTTGTCAACGATTTTTAGGGGGTGTAACTCTGTATGTAATATAGGGGTGCTAAACCCCATTTCTCTCTCTCTCCCATTCTTCTTAGATTTAAAAATTTCCTTATTGAACATGAAGTTGGGTCTTATACCAGGTTTTATCTGATTTTGTTGAAACTTGAAATGCAAGTTTGTAACCCAAAGATCTTGGTTCCTTCCGATATTCGCGCATATCGGAATGTAACTTCCCGAATTATGGCCCCTGATTGTACGAAAAATCGCGTTTTTAGCTTGTGGACCCTATAGAGGTCATAATTTTTATCCGATTTAAAAAAACATATTAATATATCACCGTTACACCCTAAGGATGGCTGAGTTCGAATTTCGTGAAAATCGGCCCAAAACTGACAGACAAAATGGCCACCCCTCGTTCTCAAATAGCGTAAAAATATGGTATATCAAGGTTGTGGACCCTATAGAGGTCACAATTTTTATCCGATTTTGTTGAAACTTGAAATGTAAGTTTATAACTAAAAGATCTCGGTTCCTTTCGATATTTGCTCATATCGAATTGTAATTTTCTGAATTATGGCCCTTGATTGTAGGAAAAATCACTTCCTTTTTAGCTTGTTCTCTATCCATCTCTCGAAAATGTGGGCGTATCCTGCCTGGCAGCCACTGGTTTTATCAAAAAGCACATAAAAAACATTGCTGAATTTGTCACCGATTTTTAGGGGGTGTAACTCTGTATGTAATATAGGGGGTGCTAAACCCCATTTCTCTCTCTCTCCCATTCTTCTTAGATTTAAAAATTTCCTTATTGAACATGAAGTTGGGTCTTATACCAGGTTTTATCTGCCTTTGTGTTGGGCTTTTTTAGTTCAAGGAACTCATCAGTAAACCAAGCATTATTTGGTTGGATATTAATAGTTTTGGACTTGAGTGGTAGGATTTGATCAAGAACTTATACTATTATAAGCACTGGCTTTTTGATTGACTCTTTCTAGTTGAGAAATTGAGAAATAATTAGCATTCTGAAGTTTTATTAAGAAAACACCTGTTATCAAGTTTCTTGAAGTTTCTTAAAGTGAGTGTTTTAGTTTGAAGTGAAGGCTTTCGAATACTCAGATTAAAATTAACTGGAAAATGAGATTATTCGAAACACTTACGTTATGAATAAGATTTCCACAGTCTAGATATAACTAAATCCAAAATATTACCAAAGGGAATGTGCTCTAAGTAAGTCATTAAATCGAACAGATCCTGCAAGTGAAAATTAAAATCTCCAAGAAGTAGAAGTCTATTGTACGAACAATTGTGTTTTTAGCTTGTGGTCCCTCTAGAGGTCGCAATTTTTATCCATTTAAAAAAAACGTTTGAATTTATCACTGGTACATCATAATGACAGTCAAGTTTAAATTTTGGACCGAAACTACTGGACAAAATGGCCGCTCCCTGTACGCAAATAGTGTTAAAATATATAATATCAAGGTTGTGGACCCTCTAAAGGTCATAATTTTTATCCGATTTTGACGAAACTTACATGTGTTTATATCCCAAAGATCTTGGTTCCTTTATATATTCGCGCATATCAGACCGTGACTTCATGGATGATGGCCCCTGATTGTATGAAGAAAATGCGATTTTTAGCTAGTGGAACTTCTAGAGTTCACAACTTTTATCCGATTTTAAAAATCCTTTAAATATATCATCGTTACACCCTCATTATACAAAAAAATCGCATTTTTAGCTTGTGATCCCTCTAGAGGTCACTATTTTTATCCAATTAAAAAAAACGTTGGAATATGTTGCTGTTTCATCAAAATGATGGTTGAGTTCAAATTTAGCAAAAATCGGACTGAAACTGCCTGACAAAATGGCCACTCCTTCTATGCAAATAGTGTTAAAATATATAACATCAAGGTTGTGGACCCTCTAAAGGTCACAATTTTTATCCGATTTTGACGAAACTTAAAACATGTGTTTATATTCCAAAGATCTTGGTTCCTTTATATATTTGTGCCTATCAAACTGTGATTTCCTGGATGATGGCCCCTGATTGTATGAAGAAAATGCAATTTTTAGCTTGTGGAACTTCTAAAGGTCACAATTTTTATCTGATTTAAAAAAAACGTTTAATTATATCACCGTTACACTATAATGAAGGTTGAGTTCAAATTTCGGGAAAGCAGATACGAAACTGCCCGACAAAATGACTGTTCCTTGTATGCAAATTATGTAAAAATATGTAAAATGAGGCTGTGGAGCCTCTATAGGTCAGAATTTATGTCCGATTTTCATGAAACTTAAATCCCAAAGATCACAGTTCCTTTTGATATTCGCGCATTTCAAACCTTAACTTTATGGATTATGGCCCCTGATTTTATGAAAAGTCACATTTTTGTTTTAGCTTGTTCTCTATCCACCTCTTGCAAAATATAGGCGTATCTTGCCTGGCAATCACTGGTTAATTTAATCATGTTTAAATGTGTTGACCAATGGACTAATGAACTAAAATGGAAAACAAGTTTTATTAGATGCTGGGTAGACTTTTGGGTAATCTGTCATACAGTCTGATCTTAGAAATATTATATAGTATAATTTGTTTCTTGTTTTTTCAGGAAAATGATGTTCAGGTGACATTTGAAGATCAACAAAAAATAAATAGATTTGCTAGACACAATGCCAGATTACAAGATATTAAGGAAGAACTTGTTGCAAAAAAGGTTTCTTCTTTACATTTAGTTTATTGTCCCCTGTCTTTTGAGGAAAGCAGCAGACTATACATTAAAATGGAATAGTCCGTCCATCTGTCTGTCACACTTTTTGGGTCATAATAACTCTCCTTCTAATTGAGCTAAAATGTTTAAACAGGATGTAGGTGTTCATTAGGTGAATGCCTTGATGGGATTTGAAGATAAGCATTTTCTGCTTAGACCAAGCAGAGATAAGCAGTTTGATTAGTCTATTCCATGGGAAACAATAACTAAGTTAGACTAGAGTGATGAAACTGAATGTATACTTTCATTACATCAATACCTTGACTAATAATATCAACACAATGAACATTTTCTGCTGAGTGATAAGCAATTAGATCAAGACTTTGTTTGGAGCACACTAACTTTGATTCTCATTGATTGAGAGTTGTGAAACACAATAACTCTGCTTTTAATTTAGGTAGAATGTTCAAGCTTGGTGTCGATATTTATAAGGTTCAGTGATTAGCATTTTCTGCTAAGGCTCAGCAGATGTAAAGGCCCGGTCCCAGTGGCCGATGGACACAAAACGTATGCAAAAAGGACACAGCGGACAAGCAAACTTTCGGGGGTGGCTCCATCCGTTTTCATCCGCTCCAGAAATGGACAAAATTGAGGAAAATTTGCGAAAACAGAACGGAAAAGAACAAATGTGGGAAGTATGTAGCGGGGAAGTTAAATGGATGTTCATCGGAAGCCTAGCGGATGGAAGTGGATGACAGCTCCGAAGGGGTTAGGCAAACTCCAGACATCCTTCAATATACCAGATACATCCCAGATACAAACGCTTTGTCCGTTTTGAAAACTTTATATACGAGATGCATACGCTTACATCCTTTCTATTTCCGTCCTACTAACGATGTATAGACGTTCCATGTACCTTATCTTTCCTTCCTCTTTCCGTTTTCAGCTGGAGCGGATGTGAGTTGCGAGGATGCCCAGCGGATGCAGAGAGGATATAGTAGTGGACGTTTAACGGATGATAAAGGACATGGAACGTTTGGTGCTCGTATATGTCGCGCATTTACATCGTACACAACAGAAAGTTCATCCGTTATAAAGGTTTTGTGCAGCTCAAAACTTTTTGCGCGTATGAAATCAAAGTGAACGGATCCTCGATGGATAGAGCGTATGAAACACGTATGCAATGAGTATACAGCAGATGCATGTTGTTTTCAAACGGAGGGCACGTTTTTTCCCCCCGTTTTACATCCTCTTTGCATCCGTAAGTGCAGTGGGACCGGGCCTTTAGCAATTTGATTGGTGAATGCTTAGGGGCACGATATATTTGACTCTAAATTCTAAGTGAGTGAGAGTTGTGGAACTTTTTAACCCTGGAGCCCAGTGAGATTTAATCAAAATATTAAGCCAAAAAGGTTGAGGTGTACAACACATATTTTACCTCTAATCATTTTAGAAAGGCAGGTCTTATTTTTGTAAACTGTGAATATAACTGGGATCACTCCCCTTAACCCTCCCAAATTTAATGGGAGTTAAAATTCAATGTGATTATCTCCATCCACAATTTTCTTGCAAACGTTTCATACTTAACATTAAGAAACAGAATGCATGACTTAAAAGCATAAAATGTTGTTCTAATGTAGAGCTTAATTAATTAGCACTAATTAGTGACCGTAATTAAATTTTAGAGTCCATATCTGAAACGAAGCCTAAAAGCTAGCTAACCAAGTCATGAAACCAAAAATATCATTTATGAGTGACAAAAGTTGAACAAACCTTGCTTCAGACTGGTTCAAAGGTGTCAAAGGTCACTAATTAGTGACCGTAATTAAAATTAACTGGGATCACTCCCCTTAACCCTCCCAAATTTAATGGGAGTTAAAATTCAATGTCCATCCACAATTTTCTTGCAAACGTTTCATACGTAACACTAAGAAACAGAATGCATGACTTAAAGTAGCTAAGTCTCTAACTCAATATTATTATTATTATTATTACAGCATATTTATAGTGCACCCTTTCATATAACATGTTCAGGGGCACTTTACAAAGTGACAATGTAAATCACACATAAAAAACAAGATTATGGGCATGTTAACGATTGTATACAGAGTCAGTTAAAAGCCTGATTAAATAAATGTGTTTTAAGTTGTTTTTTTAAAAAGAATACAGAGATGTACAACATCTTAAACTAAATGGTAGATTATTCCATAAAACAGGTGCTTGATAACTAAAAGAGCGCTGACCATAGGAGACTAGTTGAACAGTTTTGGGCTTTAAAAGTAGTTTATCTGATGTACGTAATGTTCGGCCAGGTGTATAAAGTTCTAAAAGATCTGAGAGGTAAACAGGAGCTAAATTATTTAAACATTTAAAAGTAAGTAATAAAATCTTAAAATCAATTCGATATTTAACAGGTAACCAGTGTAAATTATATAAAACAGGAGTTATGTGGTCACATTTCTTAGTTAAAGTAACAAGTCTAGCTGCAGTATTCTGTACTTTTTGTAATTTATCTATAAGCTTTAAAGGTAAACCAACTAAAAGTGAATTAAAGTTATCTAATCGAGAAGTGACTAGAGAATTAACAAGTGACTTAGTGGCCTCTACAGTTACACATTTACGTACTTTACCTATATTTCTAATATTAAAATAGCACAATTTACAAATATTATTTACTTGAGCTCCCATAAGCATAAAACTATCAAAGATAGCGCCAATATTACGAGCAGAATAAGATGAAAATATATCACAATTACCAATTACAACAGGGGGGTTGGATGGTGAATGGTTAGCGTGCGCGCGCTGTATCATAAAGTCTGTCATTGAGTCGACTGGCGTGGTTTCGAATCCCCGACTGTACGTGACAAGGAGTAGGGTCGCCTGTCCAACCTCGTGGGTTTTCTCCGGGTCCTCCGGTTTCCTCCCACTGCTAAAGACCCCTATGCGCAAGTGAATTATTGAAATAAAATTATACCATATGTTAGTCCCGAAATGACCTAGTTTGTGTCTAGTGGACGTTAAACCCCATTTCTCTCTCTCTCTCTCTCAATATCATCCAAAGTCTTACACGTTGAAAACACAAATTATTTGTCAATCAAATCAACATTGATGTTGTGATCTTACCGGGAAAGGGTAGGCTTCTGATATCCAATATTTAAGACAATATAAACACTTTACCATTGGTACACGAATCGTGTAGCATAGTGTTTCAGAGTCATTTGTAACACATGACCAGAAAGAACGAGGCTAGACATATTGCACAACTCATGTCAAACGGTGACGCCATATCTTATCTGGAGAGCATGAGCAATAGACTGGAATAACCAGACGCTAGAAATTGGCATTCGGTTGAGACTCGAATGCCGTATTTCGCTGGACATAGCTGATTTGAAATTAGAGTCAAAACGGAAACAATTGAATGTAAATCAGCTTATCCACTGATCACACTTGCTACATGCCATTGCCTGTTGGTTTTTCTTCACTGCCCTACTACACTTTACACAATTCTCAACCATTTTGAATGACAGTTTTTCAATTGACAAAAATTATCAGCCATTCCTTTTATAAATACGGGCTAACTGCTATCATTATAAGCCATTCTCTCTTCCAAATTACAAAGAATCCATTCTGTTTTTTAGTATACAGTGGACTCTTTCACATCCGACATCATACGGGATTGTTACAATATTTCGGATCACACAGCGTGTCGGAATACCGAGCTTTCTCCAAAACCGGAAATCCTGTAACTTCGAAAACCGGAAGTATTTTTATGTTGTAGCTTCGAATCACCAGAATGCTATTCCCTTTAAAAATGATAAACCTTTCTGTACTTTCAAAATTTTATTACATTAAATAATTAACAATAACAATGCAATTTTGAGTTGGTGTAAAATTGTTTCATACTGCAGTTTAAATTATCGGCAAATTTCTGTTTAAATTCATCTTTACGCTTTAATTTGTCTGACACTGTAGCTCGGCCAATTGAATACTTAACGGCTAATTCCTTCTGCGCAGGTCGTGGAACTTTCTCGAAATCTGCTATAAGTCTATAAGTTACCGCTTACATCTAATGTCTAATCTGTTCGGGCACGCTTTGCAGGACGTTCATACATTTTGAATACAATAATGTATAATGATTCTTCAATCGCGGCAATTTTTATAAGCCCACATTTTCATGTGGACGTATATTGTCGTCGCCCCTGTCCGTCCGGACGTCTGTCTGTCCACAATTTGTTTGTGGACTCTCTACAGGTCACAATTCTTGTCCGATTTTGACAAAACTTGAAATATAGGTTTATCCCCAAAAGATCTTGGCTGCTTTCGATATTGGCATGTATCGGATCGAAACTTCATGGATTATGGCCCCTGTTTGTACGAAAAATCACGTTTTTAGCTTGTGGACCCTATAGAGGTCACAATTTTTATCCGGTTTTGTTGAAACTTAACATGTAAGTTTATAACTCAAAGATCTCAGTTCCTTTAGATATTCGTGCATATCAGACCGTAACTTCCTGAATTATGGCCCCTGATTGTACGAAAAATCATGTTTTTATCTTGTGGACCCTATAGAGTTCATAATTTTTATCTGATTTAAAAAACCGTATTATTATATCACCGTTACACCCTAAGGAAGGTTGAGTTCAAATTTCGTGAAAATAGGGTAAATCAAGGTTGTGGACCCTGTATGGGTCACAATTTTAATTCGATTTTGATGAAACTTGAAATGCATGTTTGTAACCTAAAGTTCTTGGTGCCTTTCGATATTGTCGCATATCGGATCGTAACTTCCTGAATTATGGCCCCTGATTATACGAAAAATCATGTTTTTAGCTTGTGGACCCTATATAGGTCATGATTTTTATCCGATTTAAAAAAAACGTATTAGTATATCACCGTTACACCCTAAGGAAGGTTGAGTTCGAATTTGGGGAAAATTGGACCAAAATTGCCAGACAAAATGGCCGCCGTTTGTACACGAATAGTGTAAAAATAGGGTAAATCAAGGT